CGTGGCGACTTAATTCAAACGTTTAGAATGTTACGGGGTCAGGACTGCTGCCTCGCATCCGGCGACTTCTTTGAGCTGGCCACCACTACTAGCTTGAGAGGACACCCTCTGAAACTACGTGTGACAGGAGCGAGACTGGACGCAAGAAGGTCCTTCTTCAGCCACAGAGTGGTAAAGGCGTGGAACGCCCTACCTGTGGATGTCGTCATGTCCTCATCCGTGGACTCATTTAAGAGAAAGCTTGACCAGTACAGGGATATGTACCTCCACAGCATCAGAAACTAACGAACCCCCCCTGTGCCACCAGTCCCATCCAACGTTTTATGTTACAAAGCATGCTACTCCCTATATTTTAGTAACATTACGTTTCACAATTTTCGCTATCTCCTGACCGCCACATATGCGCTTGCTTTAATATTACTTGGTCCATTCATTGCCGTACTGGATATTGTACAATCTTGACACAGAAGGCATTCACAGACAAATTCATACCAGTGACCAATGCTTGTTGTATGTAATTACTTACCCGATTTTTTTCACACTTGCCTTACACATTGTTTTTTATGACGTTATTGTAACCAAAAGGGAGTTCAAAGGCGTTCGCCTACTTTTCCCTTAATAAATCTGATCTGATCTGATCCTTGCGGGGGGGAGGGGGAGTACGTCCGTCAATTCGGCCTCCCAATTCCTTGCCGACATTCGGGGAAAAACTATTCAACCCGACCAAATCATGGTATCCTTCGAAGTTGTCTCACTTTTCACGTCCATCCCACCAGACTTGGCGCGCGACGTGCTACGCAAACGCCTCGAAGAAAAGTACAACGAAACGACAGGGCCGCTAAAGATCCAGCACCTAATGCAGCTCTTTGCATTCTGCCAACGAACCTTTTTCACCTTCGATGGCAGAACATACGAACAAATCAAAGGAACACCCATGGGTTCCCCAATATCCAGCCTAGTTGCGGAATTGGTCCTACAAGAGCTGGAAAAGGTTGCGTTCAGCCATTACAAACCTGCGTTTTGGCGCCGATACGTGGACGATACATTCGTCATTATTGAAAAGGATAAGCTATCGGGTTTCCAAGACCTACTTAACAGCATATTCCCCGACATCCAGTTTACAAGAGAAGACGAGGAGGACGAAAAACTATCCTTCCTGGACGCGCTCGTCACGCGCACACCTGACGGTGAACTCAGCACTACAGTGTACAGAAAGGCGACTAATACAACCCAGGTCCTCAACTATCATAGCAACCACCCATTGGTGCACAAACGGGGCTGTGTGAGGGCGCTTTTCGACCGGGCAAAAACGCACTGTAGCGAGCCCGAAGGAAGGATGCAAGAACTACGGCATCTCCGGGACCAATTAACAAAGAACGGCTACCCAGATAGCTTCATTAGCCGCTGCGTACGCACGCACCTACGACGGACAAACGGAAGAGAGACACCAACAATTTGGCACTCCTTACCGTACATAAAGAATGTGCCCGAGGCTACAGAACGCATCGCGTCGGAGCTAGGCGTGGGCATCGCTCATCATCCGGCGGCCACCACGCGTAGCAACAAGACAGGGCGAGAGCTGTTGGAGGCGTGGGTGTCGGACACCAACTCCATCAACAGACACATCGATTTGCCTGCGTGTTATCACGCGCTCCGCCCACACAGCCAGGTAGCGCAGCTCACACCGTCGCGAAGTGCAAATGGCGTCACCACGCCGGGGGAACATCGTGGACCAGGCGGCACAAACCCTACCTAGCCACGGACGTACTCCCCTCCCCCCCCGCAAGGATGAACGATATAAATGTTCACAATTTGCTGCACTCGAGTAACCTCTGATGATGAACTCTAGTTCGAGTTCGAAAGCTCAGGCAAATACACTAACTGTCCCAGCGATCGTGCCTTCGCCTTCTTTTAAACTTATGATTATGCCAATTACGACAAAGACATGTGAGACAAAAACAACGGTCTACCAGTCCATACCCTGATCCCAGGCTGGAGAGACCAGCAATTTGAGCCCAAGTTAGGTAATCATAAAGGATTCGAGTCAGACGCTCAACCAGCCGAATAAGGAATCAATGACTCTTTGACTGCGATCGACAATATGCACGCTCACATGCGAATAACGACCCACAGCCCACGGGGACCATGGCCTGACGTTTGATGACAACTAGTTGTTTTCGTGCCGCAGCCTGTTCCCCGGACAGCCGTCGTCAGTTAACGCAGAAATTCTTTTTTCAATAAACAATAAAAAGTTCCAGAAAGGCAATAAATTATAGACCAGTCTTTGTACATTAACAAGTTGTCCCATTAGCGATCATAGTAGGAATACGGATTCATTGTACGCTAGCCGAATATGAAAAGGCGATCACTGGATTAGCACGTCTAGTCTCCTCGGTCTTATTCTGGCCTTACGAGCACCTTAGCATGCTTCGCGCGAGAGCCCATTCCCCCATGCGGCCAATTATGTGATTGTTAGGTTGATTATCATGTGGCATAATATCATGGTAGTTCAGACACAGTAGGATGTTGCTCCTTGAATTCACCTCTTTTCAGTCGCCTGCAAATCTGCACTCAGCCAAGATGACTACGTAATGGTATAAATTTATTCTACCGGTTTTCGATACCCTAACTAATCCAGACGTTCATGATAAAAAAAACATGCTGAAAATATTCTTTCTTGCATCCCATTTGGTAGCATCTCATTTTGCAGCCAAATGTAATGCTCAAAGGAGGAGCGGAGATAGGTTTTTAAAAGTTTTTCGATTTCCGAATATTCTTGAGTCCGATTTGATGTTGCATACGCATTTAAGCTTTTCAGTCTAAAAGCTGCATACTTTTCTTGTTAGTAAAAACATAAATTTCTATATACCCTTCAGAAGATACCATGCAGAGCTCATAAAATTTTGCAATCGAGGTGGGATATGCTGTATATTTAATGAAGAGCATCAATAAGTGGACGCATATGGCGCTATCTAAATGCATATGAAACGGTTTTAAGAATCCCATAATTAGGAAGTATTTGAAATATGAATATGCACTTTCCTTGTACTTAAAATGTAAAGGCAAAGTAAGTTGCTACCAAATGAGTATAAGAAAGAATGTCTTTGCATATCCTCCATAAGTGCCACTTAAGTAGCCATTTTTCGTCGAGTGCGGCTTTTGAAGGCGGCCGAGGAGTGCATTCAAAGGCCGACATCCTGTCGTGTCTGAAATATCCTGGGACTATGCAGCGCAAAAATCAATATTACAATCCCACTAAAGTGGTCGAAAACGCATTTCAAAGGTACGATTGAAATTTCATGAGATTGGTTACTGATTCTAGTCCGATAGGCGCATATCAGGGAGTTGATGCACCCTGACATCACCTAACTAATCCAGGCCAAACATCAGCTGAACATTGTTTCCTACATGCGCTGGACACGGCCTAAGCGTATATTTAGAATCATGAAAGTTGGACCTAGCCCGGTGAGACAGGGTTCGACAGTTTTCTCGGTTTTTTGGCTCTTAAACAGTCACTCGGGGTCCATAAACTGTTACTGTAAAGATAGGAAGGGCAGGGTAGCACGATAGAGTTCGCTGGGACGATGAAGACGTCTGCACTTGCGTGATTGAATGTATGATGTTGGGCAACGAAGTATTTAACACACTAAGGAAGAATACAGCTAAAGGAACAGTTAGAAAATAAAACATTTATAGCAGAAGGGAAAAATGGAAACAGACTTTTCTATCAGCTTGAGATTCAGGCCGAAGAGAGCAACACGCAAGTTACTTTAATTTGTCTTATATTCAAAGTACTGATAAATAAAGATAGTACATGAAAATGGTCAAATCAGTGTTGAAAAGGCGAGTCTCAGGTTCTTGTTGCAGCTATAGCAAAGTTCCCATCACTGAGAAAATTGCTGTTCTCTTTTACAACGGTAACACGGCTTCGAGAACAACTAGTTCAAAAAAACCCCAAGAGACGAACGTAGACCCTTTGAATCAAAGCGTGTGTTTTTGAGAAGAGGAACGATTTCGAGTTACGGGATTCTTAGATTCAGCGGGGCAAGGCAAGTTAAAACGGACATGAGGCACTGTTAGTATAGTATATTCAAAGTAATAGGCTCAGTCAGAAACGGTGAACTCAATATTCACGCCCAAATAAACACGTTACCAAAATGTTGTCAGTAGCATATACATGTTACATAAAATGTTCTAACGTCGTGAGACTGCAACCCGAGCAACCGCAGTTTTTTCGAAGGTTACGGGCCGAGCCCAAGATGGCCCTTTCGATGTACATTTTGGATTGTATATGCAAATATATACAGTCAGCACAAAACATAATCATTTGTGTAGGTTTCGGGAACAATATGCATTAAACTTGCAGGAGTGCGTTACAAAGTAAACGACCGCGGATAGCCCTGCGGTGAGAGTCGCCGTTTATCAAAAATAAAACGATCCAACTGCCTTTTGAACACAACCATGATATCAGATGTCACTATTTTATTTGGAATTGAGGGAAGGGAAGCAGAGATAACCAATTAGGTTGACTAGCAGTTCAGAAACGAGTCCTTTTGGAACTTTTCCAGCTTCAAATGCCGGCACTATACGGAAGCCAAGTGGCGTGATTATGATCTCTCTCCCACATAAAACGGAACGTCACACTTCCACTCGGTGCTTAATCGACAGTCACAGGTTCCAGCAATGGCTGTTGGCTAATGAGACCTATAAGATATTTTGCATAGAAGACGGCGCAAAGTAAAATTTGCGAGGAAGTCATCCAACTTGAAGAGCTTCGTCCTTGTTAGATGGTCTACCGTTCTCGTTATCGCTGAGGGGGAGCATTAACTGACATTCTTTACTGAGTCCGATGAAAAAAGATACGAAATGAACTCCTCTTGGGTCTAAGAAGGTAGAAAACTATGCGGAGAGTACTTAGGAAAGTGCTAGAAAAGATGGTATACGCACGAACAGCGCAAGTTTACTCAGGGAAAGGCCCTGTAGAAAGTTTTCTTCACTGTTGAAATATACTTTCGGTTTTATAAGCGTCAGGGATGGGAGACAGGAACTGTAGCCTTATTCTAGTATGAGTAAGAAAGTACAATCAAGCTGAGCGCGAGTCTAGACGCAAGCTAATACAAAACTTTAAATGTTCCTGTAGTCCCAGGCAGTATATATGCACAAGTGAGATCTCCCCTCTCAAGAATGCAGTCTATCCAGTTGGGTAAGATCAACTTACTCAAAATAAAAGACAAAAGACTAAGTCGCAAAAGGCATTTGGTAAAGTCAACAGGGGAAGTGTGAAAACAACCGGCCCTTTGCAATTAATTCCTACATTGTTGCTACTTATTTTCTCTGGGTAGGTTGTCATACTATATGTGGATGACATTCATGTAGCAGAGCTAAATACCCTAAACAACGGGTGCGCGCGAAATTGCCCTCTTCGAGGATTCATGCTGACACTACGTCCTATGACATACGGCCACCACAACCGGAAACAGTGACCTTATTCTCTTCCAAAGTTTCCTGTACGTCCACGTTTCCTCACCGATGTCGAAAATTATACAGTACACGCACAACATGGGACTACAGCGGCGCAGCTTAACTGTGGCTATGCACCTCGAGAGTGATGCATGCCATTGGGAGCATTCAGTGTGTACATGCGTTCTTTACTATGGGAAGATGCTATTGAACATTAATCCTCTCGGTGCCGTTCTCGCAGGCAATAGACGTTGCATTTATTAGTGTTGTAGCGTGCAATTAATGGTTGTCACATTAACGGGATACAGTGCATCTTAGGAAAGTAGCCCGTGGCAAGCATGCTTCGCGCGGCCTGAGGCGAACCATATTGAACTTTGTTCAAATGCGCGGTTCGTCTCATTTCAAATGATATGGCAGGTGGCTCCAATACACCTCAATGGAATTGGCGTACTTGTCTGGGGTTGTATCAGAAATATTTTCTGGAGGTCTAACAATATAGTTGTCCAAGGTCCTCTTGAGGACAGGTCAGTTGAGCAGACCTCTACGCCATTGACGCTGCTTACGATTCTCAAACTCCTCCGATCCATAACGTCAACACCCAACCCCTTACAACATGTTCACGCTTCCAACGGATATTCCGCGCGCGGGTTGGCCCCGTCGGACTTTCCCTAACTCAATGCAAAAACAACCCGACAACCCCAACTGCTGCCTTCACAACCATCTCCATCGTCGCCCCTGCACCAACCACCACGGAGTTCATGACGACGGCCACCTATCCCCCGCCGATGGTGACACTCCTGATTCCCACACAACCGTCGATCACCATCACTCCCATCATCCCAGCCGACGACAGTTTAACCGTCGATTTCGACGATGTCCGCCGTCTGCTACACACCACGGTGTAACAGGCACGGCGCAGCATCTACCGCACTCTTTTCCTCACTCCCCACCCGGACCCGGTATCAAGACAGAGTTAAGAAGACCAGAGGCGGGGAGAGGCGCAGATGGATGATGCGGTCGCGCTTGCACCTTGGCGCTCCATTCCACATCCCCTGGTCCACACAGCAAATGAGCAAGTTTTTTAACCAACAGTAACAGCACCTCAACAGGGGATGATGATGACAAGGATGATGACTGAGAAGCCATGCTCACCATCTGTATACCCAGCGGGAGCACAGGCGTATATACCGGCGGGGAACCAGGTGTCAGGGAACTGCCAGCGCATACCAGGCTGTGAGGGTCGTGATTTGCTGGTACTGGCATAGCACACGCTTGCAGACCTGTTGACCATCATCC